GCCAGGCTGCTGTAGGGTGGGGTTGTGTGTGGGGGGGGGGGCTGAACTCAAGTCCTTTGCCCCCCCCCGGCCTCTGCAAAGCATGGGGACCTTTGACTTCATTGCTATTTGTGACCGGGGAGGGGACCGTCCCAAGACATACTCCTCAGAAAAATTCACGTTTTTTCGTCTTTCACAAAAAGAGGAAATGATACATGGGGGTGGTAAGATGTTGCGAATCTCAACATACCATTGAGGGACAATGGGGCCTCTCCCTTAGCCATGGCGAAATAAATACTTCCCATAGTTGTGTGGGGAACAGAAGGGACAATAATAGGAGGCGTCAGCGGTTGTTTAAAATCATTGGTATGTGCTCAGGCCGGAATAGCACAGGTCAAATGAATTGTTTCTGTCCTTAGGGCAGGAGGGGGCTAACACATTGGTGCGGGGGGGGAACCACGGAAGACCACTGCTAACCCAGGACACCGTTTACCCCAGTGCTGGCCCTGTTCTGGTGGGTTTAGGTTGGAGTTTTTACAACCTCGCCTGCTGCTTGCAGAAGCCATGGCCGGGAGGGACTTTTATAGGCTGACATGGCTGTCAGTCTATCTAGCAGGAACCAATAGCTCCCTCCTGCCTCTGAATTCAATGGAAAGCCCTCCCTCTCTGTTGAACTCTGTTGCTGGAAGCAGTCACGTTTGTCTGTCGTTAGTTTGCTGTTGATCTGCTCTCAACCGTAAATAAAGAAATGTTTTTACTCTTTCTCCTAATGTCACAGAGTGAGTTATTGAGGCTGTAAGGACCAGCTAATGACAAAACAAAAGGGGGGTGGTCTGCTTTGGGACCTTGAAGCCATTCTACTCTGTAAATACCTGCAGTTCCGCTGCGTAGGTAGAGGAATTTAGCCAAAAATTCAAATCTCTGCAACAGTTTTAGCCCGGCAGAGTAAACTTTGCAAGTAATGTCTGAAAACTTCAGTGGGTCCAAAATGCAGCAGCCAGAATGTTGACTGAGGCTAGTTATAGGGATCACATAGCCCCCTATTACAGCAGCTCCCCTGGCTGCCAATCCATTTCTCGGTTGAGTTCAAGGTGTCGGTTCTAACCTATAAAGTGCTAAATGGCTTGGGTCCAGGTTATCTTGATGACTGCATATTCCTTTATGAGTCTGTTTCACTGTTAAAATCATCAGAGGAGGGCTTTCTCTTGGTCCCACTATCCTCACAAATGGGGGCATGGGAGGCCGCCCCTGCTTTGTCACAGCTCCCGGACTTTGGAACTCCCTCCCACTGGAGATCGGGTTGGCTCCCTCTTTGCTGTCCTTCCGCAAGCAAAGACCTTTCTTTTCAAGCAAGCTTCCCCTCAATGACTGGCCGCCTGAGTGGGGTTTTTTAATGGATCATTCTGCCATACTGCTTTAAATGTGTTTTTGGTGTTGCTTATGTTTTTGGGACGTGGATGACGTTGTGGGTTAAATTGCAGAAGCCTCTGGGCTGCAGGGTTAGAAGACCAGCAGTTCAAATCCACGTGGCAGAGGGAGCTCCCGTCACTCATCCCAGCTCCTGCCAACCTAGCTGTTCGAAAGCATGTAAAAATGCGAGTAGATAAATAGGGACCACCTCGGTGGGAAGGTCACGGCATTCCGTGTCTAGTCGCGCTGGCCACCTGACCACGGAAACTGTCTTTGGAGAAACGCTGGCTCTACAGCTTGGAGACGGGGATGCGCACCGCGCCCTAAAGTCGGACACGGCTGGACTAAATATCAAGAGGAACTTTTACCTTTGCCTTTATGTTTTTGAATGGCATTTTATAAATCCTTTTTAGTATTTATATACTTACTATTTGTTAGCTTTAATATTGCCTTTCTATGTTGTAAGCCACTTTGGATCCTTTTAAGAAGAAAGGCAGGGTGAAAAATAAATAAATAAATAAAGGAGGTGGTAGTCCTTCTTGACTACATACTTGTAGTATTTTTATTTTTATTTCATAAAGATCATTTCTATATCATTTTTCATTCAGAAAAAAAGACTCAAGATACTTTATAATCAAAACAAGGACAATAAAACTCATCGCTGAACACAATAAAACAATAAAACCCATTAAAAAACACTTCATTAGAAACGAAGGGTAACTGATAACATTTACAATCACTAAAAGGATCAGGAAAGCACCTGGTAAACAGAGGAATTTACTAGTTTTACCTACTGAGTAGTCATGAACAGATGTGTCTCCCACGTAGAGACAGTGCTTCATAGATTTCTCCCTTGGGTACAACCATAATGTCTTTATTTTATTTCCCCCCCAAATATCCTGGAGATTTAAAAAGTCAGTCGTATTTTCAACCAACAAGTCAAGGTCCAAAACCCTATTGGTTGTTTAAGCGGGTGTAAATGCAATAGTGTAAATTGCAGTGGGAAATTGCCACCAATTAATGAGTCGCCACTGAATTAATGAGTCACCACTTACATGCCTTGCTCCTTGGTGGATAGCAAAGCAAACAAGCTGTGACTCATTAGCTAGTATCAGTTAGAGATGGGCACAAAGTGGTGGTTCGGCAGTTCGTGCCGGTTCGTTTATCGGCCAAATGGGTGTTTGGGGGCTTCAAAACCCAACTCCCCTAGCAGGCACCAACTCGGAGGCAGAGGCTTGGCTTTCCTGCTCCACTTCTTCCAGGTGCTGCCTCTGAGGGGGGATGCCTGCTGTAGGAGCACCAAACACTTGTCTGGACAATAGACGAACTGACACGAACAACTGAACCAGCAATTCGCCTGTTCGAACAATGAACGAATTAGTACGAACCACTTAACCAACAGTCCTTGCCTGTCTCTAGTGAGTCACACCATTGTACTTAGCAGAAATAACCAATAAGATTCTGGCCAGTATTAATGATTGCCAAGAGGAAAGCCCTCCTTCCTGTCACCTGCCTAATATTGCCAACTTTATTCCTGGCTGACCTCCTCCGTCTTTACTGTAGCTGCCTAACCTGCAAAAACATAGCAGATGGAAATTTCCCCGTTGTATCATTCTGACATAAAGTCTCCAGCTGCTAAATTCTACTACTTTCAGCTTGTAAAAGGTATAAATATGGGGCCATTAAAAAAATGGCAACCCTAACAGTTTCCTAACCTTCCAGTCTAAATCTCTGGTTTGCAAAATTCTGCTCTGCTCCCTGAAGGGATTATAGCCCCACTAAAATTTCCATTAGTGATCGTAATTTTATTTAAAATAACAAGAGGTTACTACCCCTCTCAAAGCAGCATTAAGTATTTTAAAAAAACAATATTGTAATGAAATCAGAGGACAAAGTTAAAATTCTACCCTACTAAAACTAACTAATTAAGTTAGATACTGACTGAAATAAATATTACTGCCCTTCCAGAATTTTAGGCTGAGAGTTAAGGAAAAGTTGCTACTGAAAGACCAAATCTTCCAGAGATCAAACCCAAAATGACGGGTCATTGCAAGGTCTTCAGACCACCGCAATGTAAGCCTTCTTTTGTGCTGTCACCAAACTGCTTCTTGGAATGAAGGAGTAGGAAATCAGGGCTTGGACAAGCTATCTTCAAGGGGAGGTCCAAATAAAGTGCACCACAGTAGTCAAGCCTGGAGGTTACAAAAGCAGAGACTGGGCACAGCGAAATCTCCTTCATCCAGGAAAAAAAAAGCAGACATGAAAAACAAGTTTCAGCAAAATTTCTAATGAAATAATAGGGATGAGTGAAGATTTCACACAAGGATCTGCATGAAAGCAGCTGATGTGTCAGGAAATGAAAAAACAAACAAAGGAAAAAAACACCTGTTGATTGCTCGTGTGCATTGAACAGAAGCTTGATCTGTTGGATTTGCTAGGTGAAACTTGTAATGACACGACTGCCTGCTTTCACGCTGCAGAATGCGCTTCTCTGAAAGAGAAAAGTGCCAGGGGCTGATTCAAAAAGTGACAAGAGGAAATGAAGAAGGAAATCTTGTTCCTGGACTGTACTGTATTACTGCAGGTAAGGAGGTAGGTGAAGATCTGAGTCTAGGAGAAACCAAACCTGACATATGCATCGCGGTGCGGTGGACAATCTGCAGTACTGCAGTGAAAACTCTACTCACAACCTGAGTTCGATCCCAATGGGATCAAGGTTGGCTTGGCCTTCTGTCCTTCCGAGGTCGGTAAATTAAAGCTCCACCTCTGGTGGGGGGAGAGGTGCAAATGTGTAGCCTGTATCATTAAATTGTAAACCCCCGCCCACCTACCCCAGAGAGTGCTTTATTAAGTGCTATGGGACGGTGTAGAAGCAGCTTTCTTGCTTTATATCCACCCATGTATAAGGGTTGTAGTGCTTAACTCTTAGATGTCTGGCTGTGAGTTTCTGCGGGGAGGAGCACAGAAAGAGCTTCCTGGGACATTTGTGATTTGTGGACACAGCTGGGCATGACAACAACAGAACTCTGATCCTTCCACGGATTGCTTCTGAGGAACACAGAGAAGACCAAGGCAACCTGTGCATTGAAGTTGTGCGCGCACATTGTGCCACCAGGTCAGAACTGCCGGGTGGTGAGCCCCGACAGCGCTTTCGACATAAGCGAGATCTATAAGAGAGTGGCTTGACCCGTCCCACCCACCGCACCCCAACGGTCAGAACCCATCTCTCCTTAGTCCCATTCCGTCTATCCACTACACCAGTGGTTCTTAACCTTGGTTACTCAGGTATTTGTGAACTGCAACTCCCAGAAACCCCAGCCAGCACAGCTGATGGTGAAGGCTTCTGGGAGTTGCAGTCCAAAAACACCTGAGTAACCCAAGATTAAGAACCACTGCACTTCACCACGCCAAGTATCCTGTCTTCGAGTTAGTGTCAAATAAATCAAAACCAAAGATTAGCAAAGCTGAAGGTCCTCCGAAAGAAAATAGAAAAAACACATTCCAACCCGTTGAAAACTATATGTTGCACAGAGAAGAGAATTCTTGGAGTCCAAAACCACAAAACTGCAGTCCTCTCATTTATTTTTTAGCACCACCATACAGTATGGGGTCCAGAGATCGGCCGTGTTTCTTCTCTTTTTGGAACACAGATCCTAGAATCACGCAGCCGTCCCATGGCAAGGGGGCAGGCTCGCTGTCCGCCCCTGGAAGGTGTTGCCCCTAAAACGTCTCCCCTCTCTGATACGACCCGCTCCGCCCATCACCTGGCATCCAAACGAAAATGGGACAAGTGCCAGGAAAATCTCGCCATGCAAGGCACTGTTTGCGTAAACGAAGCATGGGGCTCCTTCCACTCTACCGTACTGCCTCACACTGCATCGGTTTTGTCCCAGCTTCTGGTGAAATGCTTTCTGAACTACCCTCCAGAGGCTCCTTTGACAATCATAATATTTTCTCCCCATGGTGCTGTCTCCAGCATGCTGGCTTGAACCACATGCTAGATGATAGTAAATAGATTCCCCCCCCCAAAAAAATGCACTGGAAAAAGAATGTGCTCACACACACATTTTGTACCATTTCCTGCTGACACACGTCTACTGTCTCAGAAGGCGAGTACATAGATGTTCCTTCTTATGACATGAAGATCCTACCTATGTTTATGGGGGGGGGGTGTAATACTTTTGCAGACTGCTGAAGTCAGAAATGTCTCCGGCTAAGACACCAGGCTTTTCGCTTTCATAGCTAAATGGTTCCCAGCCCGCAACTGGCCATTGGGTGTGCTGTCGGTAGCCGACCGGTTTCCTTCTTTGGCCGTTTGTGGGCAGGCAAATTTCACAAATTTTTGCCCTGCCAGAAAGTACAAGATCGGGTCCAGGCAACTGTTGGTGCTCGCCAATGGCCGGGTGACTTTGTAGGCCAAGTTGATGGCGTTGAGGATGGGGCAGCTCAAGTCCCAATTGCGGAAGGAGTAATACAAGGTGCGGGTGACGTGGAAGGGCAGGAAGCAGACGCTGAAGACCACCAAGACGATGATGATCATCTTGATGGACTTCTTCTTGGAGCTGGACATGCGGGTGGTGCCCCGGGTGGGCTGAAGCAGCTTACGGGCCATCAAGCAGTAGCACACGATGATGAGCAAAAAAGGGATGCAGAAGAGGAGGACCAGCATGACGGAACTATAGATGATGAACTGGCCGAAGAGTTCTTTCGCCGACGTGTCGTGACAGGTGATCTTCTCGCAACGCTGGCTGGTGGTGACAAAATACAGGACGGGGGACTGACAGATGATGACCACCACCCAGACGATGGCCGACACCCAACGGGCGTAGCGCACCTGGCCCCACTCCAAGGATTTCAGCGGGAGGCAGACGCCCATGAATCGGTGGCCGCTGATACACAGGAGGAAAAGGATGCTGCAGTAGAGGTTGGTGTAAAAGAGGAAGCGGACAATCTTGCACAAGCCGACGCTGAAGGGCCAGTTGTCCTCCATGGCGTAGTAATAGACCAGGAAGGGCAGCGAGACCACATAGAGGGTGTCGGACACAGCAAGGTGAAACATGTAGGTGGTGGAGGCATTCCAGGTCTTGATCCGGAAGATGAAGATGTAAAGAGCCAGGAGGTTGAGGCAGAGGCCCACCACAAAGACGATGCTGTAGGAGACGGGCAAGAGGATGTACTTGAAGTCCTCGTGAAACTGGCACTTGTACGGCTGCTCTTCCTCGCTGCAGTCGGCGTCGGAGGCGTTGGCGCTGGAGTTCAGCAACGGCAGCAGGAGGGTGAGGTTCGCCATGGCCCTAGGGAAGCCAGAGAGGAAATCAGTCACCGGGGCAGCGAGGCTGAGGGCTAAGGCTTAAAAAGGGGTTGAGGATGTCCAAACATGAGAGGAAGTGGCGTGGTGTGGGATTCATTCAAGCCCAAGGTCACAACGACAACAATAGTATTTTAAAAAAATAGGAAAGGCAAGCCATGACTGGGGTTGACAAAATTATAAAGAATACGGGTGGTTCGAGAGAGGGGTCTGGGAGGCCATACATGTGCATATAGAAAATCCCTCACTCAACAGGGGTGGAAGCCTTAGATACAGTCTGTCTCCTGTTTTATCAGGCTGCCCTTTCACCCATCCCCAGAAAGATCAGGACCACACCCACCAGAAAGGCCACTGTTAACAATGGTTAACGACCCGTGACAATGGGTAGAGAAGGCCTGCAGAGGTGGGATTATCCCTCACCCCCAAATCCTTTGTCATTCTAACCAGCCTCTTCAGACCAGGGGGAAGTGAGACCAACATGAAAGATCTATCAGGGATCTCCTACGAAACACACCATTATTGTTGTGCCCTGCCTTCTACATTTACTGTACTGTACTTTCCTGGGAGAAAGCTACATTAATCTTATAAGGAGCAACGTCTAAGTAGCTATGCATAAAATCATCATCGTCTTAGAACGGCAGAGCTGGAAGGCAACCTATGGATTCATAGTCCAGCCCCTGCCAAGGAAGCACAGTAGGTCGGAATCGTCTTGGGAAAAAGCCACGTGGGCAAGGCCATTATGTAGTGGTTTCCCCCAAACCTCTGTGGTTGGCCCTACATGTGATCAGTTGCACAATTTGGTTGCATGCTCAGTTTTTGCAAGCAGTATGCAACTGGTCACATGAAGGACAGATCTCTGGATAGGGCAAAGGGACTGTGAATCACAGAATCCTAGAACTGATTCTGACCCCCTGCTCAAGGCAGGAATCCAGATCAAAGAAGATCAGACAGCTGGTTGTCCAATTTTCTCTTGAATGCCTCCAGTGCTGGAGCCCTCACCACCTTCAGAGGTAATGGGTTCCATTGTCATACTACAGTAGTGCCCTGCATAACGAGTGATTCGTTTAACGACGAATCCGCATAGCGATGTGTTTTTTGTGATCGCAAAAGCGATCGCATAACAATGTTTTTAATGCCAAAACATCGCATTGTGATGATCGGTAAGCGTTTCACTTACCGATTTTCGCATTGTGATGTTTTTTTAAACAGATGATCGGTGGTTCCAAAATGGCCACCGGGTAAAAAAATGGCCACCCGCTGTGTTTTCACGCCCTTTCCTTGCTTACCGGGCAGCAAAAATGGCAGCTGCATGGAGGATCTTCGCATAATGGTAATTTCCCCCCCATAGGAACGCATTAAACGTGTTTAATGCATTCCTATGGGCTTTTCTGCCCCGCATAGCGACAAATCCGTATAGCGATGATTTTTTTGGAATGGATTATTGCGCTATGCGGGGCACCGCTTGTACTCTTAACAGTTAAGAAGTTTTTTTTTTCCTGATAGTCACCCTAAATCTGGCTTCCTGCAACTTGATCCCGTTATTGCAGGTCCTGCACTCTGCGTTGATTGTGAAATTGCCCTTCCACTTTCTGTGTCCTCAGCAGGATTTTGGTCTTAAAGCAATTGCTTGCTCTAAACATGTATAACAGCAAGATTTTAAAAATAAACTTTTGGCACTTAGATTTATTTCAGTGATGTGGGTTCAAATCTGCTTCTCCAAACACATTGTGTTAACCAAATACAACACTGAGACCACAGATTTATATCCACAGTGTGTGTGGATACAGGGTAGAGACTGAGTGAAATGGGTTTCTGAACACATCATCTGCATTGCTAACTCTCTTGTTGTTGTTTAGTTGTTAAGTCGTGTCCAACTCTTCGTGACCCCATGGACCAGAGCACTTCCACTGCCTCCCGGAGTTTGGTCAAATTCATGTTAAGTCTCTTAGTGACTTTCAAATGTTGCCATAAACATCCTGGGCAGGAAATAAAGTAATAAACTAAGCAAAATGTCTCTTGGCTAATCCACAGTGGTTAGATTTTACTCTTTAAAATGCTGAAGTAATGAATTCTCATCTTGGGAAAATGCTGGTTGAGTCGAGGTCAGAGAAAACAACTGTTTGGCTATGCACAATACTGTAGAGGAAACCAACTTATTCATATAAGTAATGTGCTAAAGAGCCCCAGGCTGTATTGAAGCTTCCAGCTGCGCACTAGAATTTATGAATGTAGCCCACTTCAGCTGTCTCACTTTGTACACTCCACTTGAGGCTCCCCCCCCACCCCACAATAAGAAAGCAATAGCTGGCTGTCTTTGCCACATTGTTGTCCAAATGGTTTGCATTTCCATCAACAGTTGGCTATGGATGGAGATCTTCACCGGATGGGAATCTGAAAGAGGCATCCTGTTGAAAGTAATGCAATACATAAATAACAAGCATTGCCACTGAATACAACTGAAGCTCTGATCCCCCCCCCATACTTATGCTTCATAGAATCATAGAAATGTCAACTTGGAAGGGACCTGTAAGGCCATCAAGTTCAACCCCCTTCTCAAGGCAGGAATATAATCCAAGGAGATCTGCCAGGTGATTATCTAAATTTTTCTTGAATGCCTCCAGGGTTGGAGCACACACTATTGTCGTACTGCTCTAATAGTTAGAGAGTTTTTCCTGATAGTCAACTGAAATCTGGCTTCCTTTAACTTGAGCCCATTGTTGCCTGTCCTGCACTCTGGGATGATCAAGAACAGATCCTGCCCCTCCTCTGTATGACAGCCTTTCAAGTACAGTATTTGAGAAGTGCTCCATCTTCTTTTCTCAAGGCTAAACAGTCCCAATTCTTTCAGCCTTTCCTCATAAGGCTTGGTTCCCAGCTCCCTGATCATCCTTGTCATGTTCTTCTGAACTTGTTTCAATTTCTTAGCATCCTTCTTGAAGTGTGGTGTCGAGAACTGGACACAAGACTCAAGGTGAGGCCTAACCAGTGCTGAATAGAGGGGGACTAGCACCTTGTGGGATTTGGAAACGATATGTCTATTAATGCAGCCTAAAATAGCATTAGCTTTTTTTGTAGCCGCATCACACTGTTGGCTCATATTTAGCTTGTGATCTACTACACTTCATAGGTACCTGAATACCTTTTGCCAGCTGCAGACATTCTCACCTCGGGTGCTCTGATATAGAGTATACAGCTGTCAGTTCAGTTCATCAGACTTTCATATCCAAAATTCTGTGTCAAAGTTACCAAGACAAATACAAAATTTATTGTGGTTTCTAACTTTCTAAATGTCAACTTCCCAAGCAATAAACTGGTGACAGTTCATTGCCCCTACGCAGCATAAAGTTCTACAAACAAAAACGGCTGAACTATTTCTTCGAGAATTGCACAAGTGACATTCTTTTGTTGCTCATCATCCTACCTTTTATATGACTCTTTCCGGGTCCAGGAGACATATTTGCACTTTAATTATTAACCCCCCAGAAATACTGGCCAGATGGCAAGAGGAAAAGCAAACAGGTGAGCGTTGTTACCTAAGTGGCAAGCTTTACACTCACGGTGACCTCGGATGCAGAGAAAAAGCTTCTACTAGACCAGTAAGAAGACTTTCAGGGCAAGGCTCTTGAAGTACCAGTGAGTGGCTCAGACTGCAAGCAGTCCAGAGCCAAAAAAAAGAGGAGGGGTCCCCATCCATTCCATTTACAAAAGTTGAGCAGGTGGCAGTCAGTGGTGGCTGATGCCCCCCACGCCGGCTGGTGAGATTGAGGGTGGGGATCACAAAAGGTGGAGACAGCTATATATAATCTGAAATCCTGTTGCGTACCTCTGCAGGAGTAATGGAGAAAGACATTAAGCCCCGCACAATGCCACCTCTTCAGTCATTCTGGGGTACACACAGTTTCATTGCATTATGTACAAGTCACGTGTACCTCAGAATTGCCAAAAGAAGCCTTTCATCAATTGGCCAGAGCTGATGACGTCCCCCTCATTATGCACACAGAGCTGTACAACAGGATTGCAGTCCTACGTTGCTACCTTATCTCCTTTCATGCATGGTTGAAATACACCTCCTGGGTTGCGGGCCATCACTCTATCCACTACACCCACATTAGGTATCTAAGTCAACATTAAGGGGCTCCAAAGCTGGTGATTCCTGCTTTGGCACTTTATTTGCATGTGGAATATTTTTTTTCCAGCATCACATCCTACCGGTAAACATGAGCAAGTCTTCAAGCAGCCAGTGGCTGGTATCCCTCAATAGAATTGCAGACAGTGAAAGGAACAATGTCGTAAATGGAACCCGTGGCCTGGGGAGTTGGTGAGCGCTCCAAACCTGGAGGCATTCAAGAAAAAATTATATCATCCCCTTGCAGGCATGCTTTGGTGGTCTTCCTGCCTTGAGCAGGGGGTTGGACTGGATGACCTCACAGGCCCCTTCCAACTTCACTCTTCTATGATTAAGAATTAAGTTAAGTATGATTAAGTTAAGAAGTCAGTGTAGGCATTTCCTGCCAAGCACGAAGTCATGCCACTGAGGGGCAACAGGAAACGCCTGCTTGATGACATGCTGCTGAAAAATATGTCAGCGTCATCATGCTAGAAGATGCAAGTAATAGGATTTGGACAGAAATGTACTCCGCTGTGACCACTCCTTTACGCAGAGGACCTGGACTTTTCAGAAATAAATATTCGTATTTCGTTCAAGACTACACACGCTCGTAGAGAAAGCTTGATGCAGGAGAGGGGATCAGGAGGCAGGTGTCGCGTGGTCTCGTGGGCTCCCCGAGGCATCTGGAAGGGCCACGGTGAGAGACAGGAAGCTGGACTAGAGGGGCCCCTGGCCTGATCCAGCACAGGGCTCTTCTTCTTATGTTCTTATGATGCCTGAGGTTTTGCTGGTGGGAGGGGGGCATAGGCGATTGAGCACACGCTGTATTTACCAAAGAATCCACTACCTTCTTCCCAGTACTATAAGATCCCACGTTA